TTGAAATGTCCGTTAAATAAAATGTATTGTAATTTCAATTATTATTACTATTATTATTTTCAAAATGGTTATGGTCATGCTAACATCAGATCATCGTCTGCCTGCTGAAACAAAAGGAAACTAAAATGCATGCTGAAAAACAACTTGTCAAAATTTCAACAACATTGGATCTGTCAAGAAATATTGACATCAAATTGAATGATCGTCGCACGAGTATTAACCTCCAGGGCCGAACGCGCCCCTGCAATGCATCACACGTCACAGGATATTAGCTTAATTCAATTAAGATCTTCTGCTTGCCTATTGAGTTAAACCAAAATAACATTAGGTTTTAATTGAAGTCAAACGTAATAAAAAGAAGAGCATGACATTTACATGACTCATAACCCCAGCCCTGCGTAGCAAAGATCTCCTTTATGACGTATTTGACTGTTTTCTAGAACAGGCAGATGTGCGTCATTATAGTTTCAAAAGATAATGCTGAAATAAATGGAGCTGAATAAGGTTTAGTGACAGATTTTCTGGAATATTCCTCGCTTTGGTTGAGTAACGAGCAGTAAATCACAGCTCAGATTTTTAGAGGAGACTTTGAATCTTCAGGAAGGAAGCCAACAGTCTCTCATTGAGATTGTGAACACTTCATTGTCCCCCGACATGTGTTCTACATACTCAGCAACTTGGACCAGTTTTTAAGGAATCAAATCTGCTTTGAGAAATGAGACAGTGCACAATTGATAGAGCGCACGTTGCGGTCTGGTGATTGTAGTCCACAGAAATCTGCATTCTAATGAAATGCATATTTCATGCTGTACATCACCGCCACAACTGAAATTATTCTGGCATGCTGAGCAGATCAGCGACCAACAATGCTAGCAATGTTAGCAAGCAGGCGCTAACAAGACAACCATAAAGCACAAAGCTACATGATCTGTTCGCATCAAGACTGAATATTTGTCTTGAACTTAAAAATCCTCCATTTTGTTAACATTTTTCTTTCCTCTTGTATAGGCTTTTCTTCTCACTGACCAATCAAATACGATGTTTAGGGCAAGAAGCAAAGCCTGTACAAAAAGGCTAAGTAATTAGCATTCAACAGCATTTAACTTCCATGCTAACTTATCTTTAAAATAGTAACTGTAAATAACATCCTTTAATATCCAGATTTGACATTTATTTTACACAAAATACAACGTGTAATGTCTTTATTTTTATAAATGGTGTCAGAGATAGATATAAACAAAGACTATAGAATACACAAGACATGTCACATTAATGATATGGCAAATGAAGCCTGGCCTACTAGTACAGGAGCCAATCATCTATCACTAGAGACTGAAGATTCTCTGGGGGAGAAGCTCGGACCAAACGTTTTGTGTTAAACAAACACACTTGAATCTCAGCGAATACTTGCTTCACAGACATAAGAATTTTAGCCAAATAAAGCTTGAAATCTGTGCTTTAAAATGAACCAAATGCACTTGAAAACAAAAGTTTTCTGGTTTTGTTATCTGTATGAAAAAAACGTGATATACAGTCCGTTCTGTCAAACGCACATCACATGATAGCAACTACTCAAACGAACAAACTTGTAAACAGAGTAGCTGTCATTTCTGGAGGAGATTCGCCATCAAGACCAAGTTGTGAATTACTTCAGAAGACCAGCGCGATTAGACGGTCATTATTCAGAGGATAAGAATGTGTAGAACAGCTATAAATAAGGTTGGTGTCATGATATCGTGCCTTTCCTTTCGAGTGTGCATGCGCATTAGCTTGGGCTACCTAAAAAAAAGCTGAGTTTGTTTGATTCGAATGTTTAGAAGTGAATCTTATGAGACGATTGTTGTTACATTTTATTAGTGGTTCCAAGCATGTCATGTAATCATAAGCTTGGCTAACAGTTTTGGAGAATTTAACGTTTCCTCATTCAGACAGAATGCCCAAAACAAACTGCTAAAGAGGTGTTTCAAAGATGGCCGCCGAGTGAAATGCCTTGCCTTAAAAAGACTCTGGCTGCATCCGAAATCGCATACTTGCAAACTATATAGTATGCTAAAATCAGTATGCGAGCCGAGTAGTATATGCAAATTCATAAAATTTAAAAATCAGTATGCGAGAAGTACCCGGATGACCTACTACTCTGGCGAAATTCTGAAGTGCGCATCGAATAGATGCTATGCTATCCCATGATGCCTCTGAAGCGAGAGAATTTATGAATGGGAGTAAAGCGACGCAAATCACGTGGGTAGGTCATGTGATTATGACAAAATGGTGGATGTGGTACATCAGAGTTTCATTCATACTGCTTACATTAATATGTTAGAGTAGTATGTTTAAATCCAAATGCAGTACCTACTGAGTAGTAGGTGGTTTCAAACACAGCCTTTGATATAAAGGAAGTTAATATATTCAGGAGATTTCACTCATTTTTCTCTGAGCAGTCTAACCGTGTTCAGGTACTAAAAGCTTGAAAAACCTAATATTGGGTAGTTATTTATGTATAGATTAAATACTAGTGATGTAACGGTATTATAAATACCACCTTACCGCAAAAGCAAATTGTTTCTATATTACCGTGGTTGCATGGCTTGATAAAACGATAGGTCTTAAGAGAAAAGCTTGCTCATGCGAATGAAGCGAACGGGCGGTATCAGGAACTACAATTCCCATTAGCCCAGACGTGGCCATCATCCTTTGCGGTCTGATGTCGCTACAGATCCAGCAATTCGGAAATGGAGGGTGCTACTAGCAGCAAAGGAAAAGAGCTGGAAATGGTCGAACCTAAAGTGTGTTTTAAATTAGATGTAAGGAATCATCTAGGTTTCTCTGTAAAAAGAAACAAGAAGGGAGAAAAGGTGACAGACAAAGTAAAAATGTTATGCAGGCACTGCCAGACTGTGGTGAAATAAAAGCCGGAGAATACGACTAACATGATGGGGATTCTTTTAGTCAAGGGGCCAGCAGAACACAGCACACTGCTCAGATTGATGCATACATTGACTTGTACCGCAAAGAGACCTTTATCTCACTCCTGGCTTGTCCTTTCGAGTGGTGAAAATACAATGCACAACATTACCCACTGCTGTCAACCTTGGCATATCTCTGTCCCAGTGAGTGTTCTTAAATGCTTATTCAGCACATGGTCCAGCAGCATTAAGCAGGCTGCTATTTTTTTTCTGACTTTTTATAAATACTAAATTGAAACTTTATTTATTTTTTTTACATGATGTATTAATTTGTTGTTATTAAAATCGAAAAAAAATATTGTTTTCAAGTTTATAGATAGACTGCTAATTTGTATGCCATTGATATGTTCAGTGTTCAGGTAAACTGTTTAATAAACACTTCTGGCACTTTTCAAGTCTCTTCATTACTTTTTTTTTTCCTGTAAAGAATTTAATAAATACCGTACAGTGCCATTCATACTGAGGTATTATCGTACTATGATATTTTGATACAGCTATATCCCAATTAAACAGAAGATACAAACATTATTGAATACCCAAAGGAATTAAGCTTGGCTGAAACGTTTACACAGCAACAAACTATTCCTCGCACTGATTTGTAACAAGTAAACTAAACAACAGAATTTTCCTTTGATTTTTGTGAGCTACCTATTGTGTGACAAGTTACATAAAGCCATCTTATTTGTGCTTATTTTAATCACTGTTTAGTGTTGCTTGTCATCATGCTCTGCCTTCTCTTCTATGAAACATGGCTAATTTAAAAAAAATCTGAGCCTGCATGTTCATCAGGAAGTCTGCTTGAACATTTGTCTGCCTTCACTTCCTTTAAATCCCCTCTTCCATCACCCTCTCAGAGCTCCGTCTACACAATGAAAGGCGAAGGGCTGCGCGACTGAAAGGTGCTAGCTTTGAGGAAGCCACATAATGGAAGGAGCAGGTATCCATCAACACCGGGATTGTTTTGGAGAGGATGTAGAAACCCAAGACAAAATACTGGAGCCATGTTAAGAGCTGGCAAACAAATCCCAGTGTGCATGGTCTTGAGAGTAAAATTTGTTAACAAGCTTGACAAACTTGATTCATTTGGCAACTGCAACTATTAGTCTAAACCATTGTTTTGGTTTACTAAAATAGCTTTAAGAGCTGAAATATTTGACAGCGATGTTTGGTATATACATATTTTGACTTCCACTTTTGAAGCCAGGGTTTTAAAGAGCAAGTTTTTGAAAAATGTATTATTATTGTTTTCATATAAAGAATACATTTTTATTTTAAAATGTAGTTAACTTAAAGTGACTGCCAACTACTGACCCGGCATGCATAATAATTTGCTTTTAGTGATTTTCACATATCTTTGGGAATAAGATAGAATTGATAACTCTATAATCTGTATGAAAACATTTTACCATGCAAAAAAAAATCTTTATTAGTTTTTGGCCCTTCACTGTTGATTAATGTAGCCTAAAATAAAAGCAAATATAAAAACATCAAATTTTGTGGCAACTAGTGGCCGCTTTTTTTTTGTTCACACTTAATTTTAAGATACAATTATCACTGTTAACATATTATTAACTATGAACCTTAGTCCAACAATATCCTAATTTGCTGCTTATTAATAGTTATTAAAGTAGTAGTTGAGTTTAGGAATTTGGTAGGATTATGAATGTAGAATACGGTCATGCAGAATGTGTACTTTATATGTACAAATAAACAGCCAGTATCTTATTAATAGTCAGATAAAAAGTCACTACTTGATAGTAAGAATTAGTGCTAAATCTAGTATTGCCTTTAACACAAAATCTTTAAAAAATTACACACAAAAATACAAATTTGCATAGCACACTGTAATAGAATAATTAATTACCCCCCAAAAAAAACACATTATTGAATGAAAAATACAACCAATGTCACTCAAAAGTTACTTTGTTGAAAAAGTTACGTGTGAAATGTGTTTGGAATAAACTAGTCATGCACACATTTTTTTTGTCACCACCACCCACATAACATTTGAAACAGCATCTGATTAGTGAGACTCACCCAGTCTATCGAACTCTATGCTGCTGCATTGTGATTGGCTGAGACTCCACGGACAGTAGAAGACCGATCCTCCTTCTGTGATCTTGGGCTGACTGGTGTTGGCTTTGGGTGCTCCAACTATAATGCTCACACTGTTCAAGCAGAAAAAAGATGAAGGAAGATTTTAGCATACTAATAAGACTGTGAGGCATATTAAGAGAGCAGGACAAGTACAACAGTGTTCAGAGTCACAAAAAGTGTATATGAAAACATTGTTAAAGACTTTGGGTTGAACATCAGAGCTTGAAACAAACAACAATAGATCTATGTTGACATCAAATAAAAAGAAAAGAATTAGAAGCCATTTTGAAATACTAGCATGTTAAGCTACAAGCTAATGAACTTGATGGAATAGCAAGACAATAGCTAGGTTTTCATAACCTTGCGTTTATGCACATTTTGAAGTATTGCATGAGAAATACGTGATGAACATGCCAAATTTTGAATGTAGATCTCATTAATCGCAAAAACATTTCTGACTTGAGGTGGATTTGGACTTGTGCAAAAAAGGGCTAATGCAAATAATGGGAGGTGAAAATACTCATAGCGAACATTACATCCATGTGGCTCCATTAGCTTGACTTGTTTACTGTTGGTTACTAGGTTACCAATACTACAGTCGTCTGCTCTAACAACTTGCTCTAACAAGCTGCTCTTATGCATCAAATTTAATCTATCTATCTATCTATCTATCTATCTATCTATCTATCTATCTATCTATCTATCTATCTATCTATCTATCTATCTATCTATCTATCTATCCATCCATCCATCCATCCATCCATCCATCCATCCATCCATCCATCCATCCATCCATCCATCCATCCATCCATCCATCTATTTAATTGTGTGAACTTTGAAATGTTTGCTTCATGTTAGGATAGAAACCCGGCTAATGAAAACATACTTTATGCTATGAAAATTAGTTTAGTTAGTATTTACTAGTTAATCTAAACACAACTAATCAAAGAGTTATATTGACGTTTTAGTTAATTTCCCATAAACTCAAATTCTGCATTATCATTCTCTCATTTTCAGATTTCATTAAGATTGAAGAACTCCAGACAATTTATAGTCTTTTAGGAAATGGACTGTCTCATAATGTACCATACAGAAGTGAATTATGTAACGGCGTGGCCATGTGCAATGGTTAGTAACTTGGTTGGCAACATGTGACCGCCAACACAGCCACAGACACACACCAGGTCCCACTGGGTAATAAGTCAATGGGAAAACAAGAGCGGACACTGCTGAAGAGGAGTTAACTCTGCATCTACAGCTGTTTTTCCCTCTGGGTTATCAAAAACTCAAGAGTTGCAAATATTTGAGCAAATACTGACAAACACAGCCACATGTTTAGAAGTAATGCTCAAGTAATGCTCATGTCGAAGTTTCACTAATCAAATAAACTTCTCAACACTTCTCATGGCTAAATAACTGCGTTGTGGCAGGATGAGAGACAGAAGCAGGATCAGTGTTTTTAAATGGCATTTTTACATTCTCATAAAATGATTAATATTTGATTTCTATGGCCAATATTAACATGCATTTAAATCTAAACACAAATGTGGCCAGATCGTCAATGTGTTTAGATTTGTCAAGACAAAACAAGAGAATACGAAGAATCGTGACCTTAAGAATCAAATCATAAAGTACTAAAAAAATATTCCAACCACTTGTATTTAGTGCCATGTGAATGTACTAAAGAAAAAGCATCTTAATAGCAGAAGTACATTTTTAAAAGCTCAATCAGCACATCTTTTTCTCAACATGAACAAGAACTGTTTGCAACACTTTACTTTAAGGAAGGGTTGCCCAAACTTATTCCTGGAGGGCCGGTGTCCTGCATATTTTAGTTCCAACTATAATTAAACACACCTGAATAAGCTAATAAAGCTCTTTCTAGGTATACTAGAAACTTCCAGGCAGGTATGTTGAAGGAAGTTGGAGCTAAACTGTGCAGGACACCGGCCCTCCAGGATTGAGTTTGGATACCCCCGAGTTAAGTTTTCTTTGTTATCCTTCTTGCATGTTAATGCAGTAATTAAAATTAATTATGCTTAATTATATGCAAGTAATCCTAAACCTTACCCCACAACCCTAACCATACACTAAGTACATGCTATTAATTAATATTACTTAGTATATAAATGGAAAGTTACACTATAACAAGAACACCTTAAATGAAATGAGAATCTGAAATATTTTATGTCATACTTCAAAAAATAAAGATGATTTAGTATTCAAAAAGGTTTTATTTTAAATATGTTGTTAAATAAATTGGTCTTACACTTCATATTTTGCAATTTTTCATAGTATATGTATTAATTCCGGTACTTTTACTATAAACTGATATATTAACCATTTAGAGAATGATATCTTAGAAATTATGAGATCTGTTGAAAAAAAGCATCGTGTTAACTAGCAACATTAAGAGTTAAGAAATACAATCCAAAATATTTTTTTTCTGGGTGGGACAGTTAAAGGGATAAAAAAAATGGAACCGAAATGAACCTTGGAAACAAAATTTGTATTTTTGAGTTTGTGTGAAGATGTTGTGTGTTTCTTTTTTATACATTTTTAATTTGTTTGTGACTAAGCTGGTTTTTTAGAGCCATTACCTTTTAGTTACACTTTATTTTGAGGTGTTCTTTTTGAAGTGTAGCTTTCTATTTAATTACTATGGAATATTAATAAAACTGGAGTAATGGCTGAAAAAAAATCTGCTTTGTCAAAAACCAAAACCTAAATTCTAAATTGCAACAATTCTCAAAATTACTACATCTTTGATCACACAAATGCACCAGCCTAACAGACTTCTCTCGAAAACCATTTAGGGACCTCAAACTTATAAACGACAGTCCACATCAACAGTATTACTTGTCCATTTTATCATTTGAATGATGGCCATTTAGAAAGTTAATACCACAGATTTAACATTTTAAAACAAGCTCTTAGAAAAAGTACCCAACAGTTAGACAACCACTATTACTGTCCCTGCTCTTCTAATCTGTGTCTAATTTTCCGAGAGCCGGCCTGGATAGGTGCAGCGCCGCCATGACCTCATTGTCTGTAAACTTACTATCATCTTTCCTGTCATTAAGGCCGGTCCATTGAGAGACTGGGGACGGGGGTGTGGAGGTGTTCATGAAAGGGCACTGAGGGCATCTCCAGGGGGGGGTCAAGGTACAGGAAGAAACACCCTTTCCTGCCCTAGGGCTGGTCTCAGTGACGCGTAACAGAGGGCTTCCTTACAAAGACTGCTTTCAGAAAACCCTCCGGTCAGCCATGGAGATTCAAGCCCACTTTAGATGGACTGAAGAGATAGAGTGGTATACGTAGATGACCATTTGAGTTGAAAAAAAAAAACAAAAACAAAAGAAAGCAGGCCGGAGACAGCAAGTGGATGGCATTCTTAAATGAAATGAGTGGATTCTCCATGTTGTTATTTACAAAAAGAAATAGTGTCTTGAGACATCAAAGCTTAAATTGACATCTTGTATTGAAGTACATTGCATTTTGCACCTCAAACCCTTGTTATTATTAATTAAGTCTTTGTTATTATTAAACCCTTATTATTATTATTAAGTGCCTTTAAGGCAACTCATTTCATGCAGCGGCCTTCTTTGAAACACCTTGCAGGCAGTATGCTCAGGCATTCCGTTTGAATGTGGAAACATTATCAAATTCTCCAAAATTGCTTGCCAAGCTGACAATTAAATTTATTATTAGGAATCACCAACAAAATAAAACAACAGCTGTCTCTTTAGTGTAATTTTTAAATGTTCGAATCAGCAAAATTTGCAGAAGTGCATGTCTGGTCCAAGCCCCTCCCCTGGAGTATCACCAGTCTACATCAATTGATGATTGGATCCTGTTCTAGAAGGCGGGGCTTCATTCAACATATTGACCGTTACACTTTTTCCCATTCAAAACTATGCAAGTGGCATGTCCTTTGTAATCTATAGTCTTTGTTATTAGCGACAGCAGTGGCCATTACATGAACTGCAAATGGCTGTGTGCGAATGCACTTGAAGTAGCAAACTTTGTTCAATTCCATAATTCACTTACATCTAACATCCCAAAGCTGTTGCTGAGAAGTGGCATTTAAATAAATATGTAAATATGTGCCATGAGCTTTGCTTTTAAACAGATATTTCACCCAAAAAACCTTGTGCAGTTATATGCCTTTATGGAGTTTCTTTAACACAAAAGATGATATTTTAAAAATGCTGGTTGATGGTACTAAGCATGGGACGGAATAAGATTCTGAAGGCATGATAACCTTGGATAAAAATATCATGGTTTCACTTTATTGTGATTACTTCTCTAAAATTTGTAAAAAGCCTGGCTATTGAAACTTTTTTCCCCATTGAACACAGCATATTTTATTATAAGAAACACTTAAAATATTTAATGTGAATGGTCTTTTGCTGCTGGAGATACTGCTGCCCAAAAACACATAAAATAAAACACATGTATATATCGTTGAAATGGCATAACAGAGAATTGTATCGTTTTTTTAAACCGTGATTTTTCCATACTGCTGTAGTCCTTAAAACTGGTTATCATCCCATGCCTAGATGGTACCAATTGGCTTCCATAATAAAAAATATAATTACAATGGTAGTCAATGGGTGACAGCAAACAGGATTTTTCAAAATATTGTCAACAAAATGAACTCAAATAGGTTATGAACAAGTGAAGTGTGCATAAATGATGACAGAAATTTCATTTTTTTGTATGAACTATCAATTTAATAATAAAATAAACACGAAGCAAATATAGCAAAGCAAATGATCATGGGAAAGGTCTTGATTTTTTAGGTTTTGTAAAAATATAGTATAATCTTTTGATATGATGTACTTTTAGAGAAAAATGATGTCCATATATGTAGACTTGTGGTCCGAATGTAAATAAAAGACTTTTACCTGACTGTTTTTAATGTATATATAACAGATAAATTTTTTTTTAAATGTTTTTACCATCAGAGAGTAAAAACAAATTTTTTTGCCCATTTTGGACAGTTAAAAATAGTGTTTAGCAAAATAGGATGGCAGGATGACACTGTATGTCTGTAACAAAATATAAA